CCCCGCTGGGACACAGGCACTGCTGTGCAGAGCATTTGTTGGGCAGGGAGAACATCTGGCTGGCACCTTTTGCGTAACAAGTCAGGCCCTTCCCTGCAATAAACTGCTACTGACTGAAGTTGAATTAAGGCTTTTTAGTTCTCCTGTTTCTCTTTAAGCAGGAATATTTTAAAGGAAGTTAGAAGCAAATATTTTGAATCGGTTACTGAGATACTTTGGTAGAGTTTTCTCCCTCCCCCAGTTTGCTTTTCTTGGTTTATGTTTTACTATTGAGCGTAATCAGAATTAATTAGAGAGTTATGTCATAATACAGTAATCTGCAATCTGTAGATTTCCAACTCAGTATCAAGTGAGACCCTGATCTTACTCAAGTCTTTACCCACTAAAGTAGCCGTCTGTGACCTTCTAGTGGGCAGTGTCCCTGTCCACGGCAGGGGAACAGAATTAGATGATATTTAAGGCCCCTTCCAACCCAAGCATTCTATGATTCCGTGTTTACTGGTCTCTGCTATGCAGTCCCTGCTGTTTGCTCCCTGTGCCTTTAAACGAGGTCACTGCAGAGCAGAAGGATGTCACAGGGCTGTGCCTTGTGTTCCCTCTGCATCCTCACAGCCACCAGCAGCCACTCCACTTTGCACTGTGGGTTTTACTGTGTCCATTTTCGGCTTGGATTGCTCCTCCTCTGCACCCCCCTCTGGCCCCAGCCCCTTCCTCTTCTCCAGCTGTCTGACTCACCAGTGCTTCTGGTGGGTGTTTAGGGCTTTAAAACTGAATTATGCATCAGTTGGAGGGCAAATAGACTTTCTTTTTAACCTCAAGGCTGAGAGAGTCAATGAATATGGGTTGACTTCTGAGGGCAAGGCTGCAGGGATTGCCTGAAAAAAGTAGTTCATTAAATTTTATGTTCCTGATTAATTTCTCCTCATATTCTAATTTTGTCCAAGATACAGAAATGTGAGGTGGGCACTGAAAATATGGCTTAAGATAAAGGCTTAAGGCTATATGTCAGAATTATAGCTTCTGTTTCTTAAAAATTAATTTATCAGCATGTATTCTCATGGAGTTTATAAATTGACTCTAAAGCAACCCAGGCTTTTGGGGTCCTCTCATCAGCTGGATTTATTATTGCTGATGTGGTGAAGTCTGGAAATCCAGTACAAGTTAGAACAGGTAATGTTTCCTACAAGCATTTTGCTCAAGTTTGTGTCCAGTTGGTTTTGATGCTCAAAGATCCCCTTAGCACAGTGAGATTTGTGCATGGTCATGCTTTGGAAGCCATATCAACCCCTCATGAAAGTGGAAATGAATTGGTTTGTTCCTTTTTAATGAGATTTTGATCAGAATTTGGATGGAGGATCTACTGTGCTGTAAGTAGAACTTACAGTTCCTGTATTTAAGGTAGCATTTAGCAAATTAATTTAGGACTGCCTATAGCAAAGTTTACTAAATAATTTCTGATATAGTGGGGGTTTTTAATATCAACTTGAGGTGTTCTGGATTTAGCTGAAATAAACTGGATAGTTATCCTAGGTGGAAGTGAGGGAAATCTACTTCCTCTACCTGCTTTAAAAAAAAACCAGATTTTAAGTGCTTCAGTAAAGTAAAAAAAAAAAAAAAAAAAAAGGCAAAACCCAAAACCAACCAACCAAAAAAAAAAAACCAACCCCTAAAGAAAACAAACAAACAAATCAACCAAACCTGTAGTCTTTGTAGCTTTAACAAATGAAACTTGTGGAAGAAGGGAAAGTGAACTGTGTTGCCTCTGTTAGGAAAGATTCTCCAGCTGTCTCAAGGAGAAGCACTCAGTACTTGTGCTGGGGACCAGAGATGTGAAATTTAGCCGCTGAAGGGGCTCTCATTTCTTGCCCTTCTGTGAAATATCTTCCCAGTGCTTGCCTGTCTGTCCTCAGATATCCAACATCTTTGTTTACATCAGCCTGTGGAAACTTTTTAGACATTTTTGGACAGACTAGCTAAAAAGTTCCCCTGGCAGCACTCATTTTCTGGCTTCTGGGACTGTCAGGGCTGAGCCAAGGCTGCCTCGCAGGTGTCCTCCAGGGTGACACTGGCGTGGTGTTCAGCTGTGGAGTGAAAAGCCAGGGGCTGTTTGTTTCTCTGGAGCTTCTCCTGCTGAGATCACGGAGGAGAGAGCCTGAAAGCCCGGGGGTAAAAAACATGAAAGCAGAGGGATGAGGGGTGAGCGGAATGAGGGACAACAGTGGATTCAGCAGGTGGATTCAGCACCAGAAGAACAGGAAGGGAACAAGCAGCTGGGTGGGAGCTGGGGGAGCAGGAGGGGCTGGGCAGAGCCAAGAGAAGCCAAGGAGAAGAACAGAGGTGTGGGGAGCACTGGAGCAGGAGCGGTGGGGAGGGAGCTGTGGTTGGGAAGCGTGGAGCAAAGGCAGTGCAAGGCCGGGAGCCAGCCACGGACCACTGCCCACAGCACTGCTTTGGCAAAGCAGGGAGGGAGCCCTGATCCCACAGCCATCCCTTCCCCCAGTCAGCCAGGAGCTGGGAAGCACACCAGGAGAAGCAGCCCCCTCCATCTGCTACCCACTGCTTGACCAAATTGGTTACCCATTATGAGCAGAATTAGCATGGGCAGCAGTGAACTTGGAATAGATCCCAACTGTGTGGGAAACAGCATGGTCCCACATAATGGTTTATTTTGAATTCCCTCACCACCATCTTGTGGGGTTTGGTTTGATTTTTTTTGGGTTTTTTTGATGTTTTCTTTTTTCAAAGGGGGAGAGGGTATTTTGTATTTGTGAAATAGCATTCAAAACTGTTTGGTATTTTAGAACACAAACATAATCTCTCTTAATACTGTTACAGAGGGATCCAACACTGGCAAAGTAAATGATATGGGACCTGCCCCCAACCCCATCCAACCAGCCCAACGCCCTAACTTCTCAGCAGGGTTTCTCTCCTCTGTCTGCATTTTCTTGTAGCTGTTTGCAGTTTTAAAAATACTCTGGGTTCCTCTAACTTCCAAATAAAATGGCTCAACAGACAGCAGTCACATCCTACACACCTACGCCCACAGGCGCACACAGCAGCCGTGCAGATCTTTAAGCTGTCTCTAACACACATAATTTTCCTTATTACCAAGTATTCATCTTTTCCCTTTCCAATGTCTTTAAAATAAAAAAGTCATATGTGCACATGTACACAGGAGAAGGAAGAAGGAGGGGGAAGAAAGTGTGTGGAATAGTTTATCTGTGTTCAGATCCCTTAAATAAAAGTCTTTGGTGATCTCTGCACATCCAGGTCCAGATCCAAAGCCTGTGGAGGTTAGCAGCTAGTGTTGGCACACAGAATATTTTGGAGAATAATTATCAACTCTATTTCTAGATTAAAAGTATATCTATAATAAGTGTGTCACATGGCACAGGCATCTCTCTCAGGGAGTGTTTTACATTTGCTGTGCTAACTCTGGCATATTTAGTTTTCTTCAGAAATGAAGGATGTATTTTGTCCATGTAAGCTAATATAATTTACATTTTCCTGAAAACAAATTAAAATCAAACAATATTGATTTTTTTTAGTTATAGTTTTTTTAAATATATAGTACATCACCAAAATTTCAAGAATAATAGTTATTTTTCACTTTATCTTTGCATCAAATCCATTCATTTTTCATAACGTGCTCTGTCAAACCACAAGATGCTGAGTATTATCCATAGTTTCTTTTCTTGCATTGATGTCACTTCATAAAGCTGTAACACTCTTGAGTTCGAAAGCTCTGCATTTGTGCTAGGGCTGGGGATCATTAACATCCTAAAAGCTTTAAGGTTTCTTAGAGGCGACTCACTTTGATTTTTACTTACCTGTTAAAATTTTCTTTCTCCCTGCTGAAATCAGGTCAGATATTTGATGAAGGTAATTTTTTTCTTTTTTTATGAGTTATTACACTACTTATGAATTTTTTTCTGTTGTTGTTATATTGCCATTTCTCACCTAGGCTAGGAAAGGAGGAGAATGATGAAGTGAAAGAAGTTCTTATGTATAGATTTTTAGAGCTCAACAGACATTGTCTTTTCGTTCAGCTTATCCAACTGAGTGGTTTATTCAGCTATGCCACTTGAGACTATTAAGTGCCCTTTTCCCTATGACCACCTCAAAACAACACCAACATGAGGATCTTGCCATTCTAGAAACCATTGGTGAAATGGCATTTAAAGTCTAGAAATAAGAGATAGTTTATCAAGCTTTATGCCTTTCGATATGGCCATTTTATCCAAGCAGAGTTGTGATTCCAGCCCCTTGTCGTGTCCCTTTCCTCAAGCAGGTACCTCTGCCCTGTGCTTGTTCAGCCTCAGCGAGAGGCTGCAGTGCATCAGGGACCCAGGGGCCAACCAGAGGGAGAAAGGGGACAAAAAGGGAAATGCCACATTCCAGGCAGTGGAATTAAAACATCTGGGGTTTCCCTCCTGTTGAGTCAGCTTCTACACCAGGGGTTTGGGGTGCACAAAACTCAGCAAACAAAAGCAGATTGTTGTAGTCATAAGCTACATGAGATCGAGCCTTTCCTTGCATTCTTTAAAGAATAATTAATCCTAGAAGAGTCAATTTCCAAAAATATCAGAGAAATTCAATAAGCATATTTACTGAAGTAATTTTCAGCCAGCTCACAGAAGACCCTGCATGCAGTGGAGGAGATTACAAAGACAGCTGCAATGAAACATTTCAACGTTTCTGTCCTTTATGCTTCCCATTTGGCAAAAAGTTCCAGTAGTTTGGGTTTTGATCTTTGTTCCACGTGAAAACAGATGTCAAAACATGTTCCTTCACAGCAACAATTATATTTTTGATCAGCTTTAATGGCTTTTGGAAGTATGAGTCTCTTCCGATAGGGTACATTCTTGTCAAATACAAAAAATAATACCTCCATTTACATCTTCATTACTTTTTTATCTATTTCTCACCCTTTGCAAATATCCTTGTATTTGCATGTTCCCATTGTGAGGCATTTTCCTATATGATTATTGCCCTCCCCCAGTAGGCTTTGACATTGCAGAATGATTGTGCTGTCACAAATACTGGAATGCTTCAACAGACAGGATTAGAAATGGTCAGCAGATTAAAAGTGTTTGCTTGAAGTTTATTCTTTGGTTTGAAGTAGTGGGGGAAAATATTTGCATAAATGAATTTTTAATAGATACCAAAAATAAAATCTGCTAAAGAAAATGTAGCTTGTCTGAATTATCATGCAATTTTAATTCTGCAAGCATTTATGTTCTTTGTGTATTTTGACTTACGGCCATGTGAGATACATGAGTGAACTGTCACTCATGCAGAATTAATTCTAATTTGTCTATATAGGGGAAAAAACCCTGGGAAAATATGATAACGCTTTTCATTGGCAGCAAACCCTAGTTGTTGTTAGTCATTTGAGAAAATTATTGTTAACAGACTATCCAAATTCTGTAGGTCAAAGCCTTCCTTGAAAAGAGGTGTATTAGCACATGACTAAATCCACTACAGGAATGGATTTTATCTACTAAGGAACTGTATCCTTCTGTACCATCACATTTATGTCATTTTTTTCTTTCCCTTGAACATGAGAAAAATATTTTGATTCAGTGTTTGGAAATCCAAGCCAGGTTATTTAAAATAACCGTCACTTGGAATGTACCAAGTGTAATTTTTAATGTAGTTACTTTTCTATGGTTTTTAAACCAAAATTTTTAGTTTCCCATGAAACACAATACAAAAGCAGCTTGTAAAGAGTCTTTAGACTTTGCACTTCCTCTCCCAGGCGATTTGCAAATAAGAAGTTGTCACTGACACGTAGGGCAACAAATGGATAAAGCAAGCATGGATTCTGAGATCTATAATTTTTAATAATCTTTAAACTAGCTACAAAATGTCAATCACTTCACAAACTGACAGGAGACATAAGGAATTTTCATATTACATGCTGTAAATTATATTTATCTCACAGTTTATCTAGAGTTCATTCATTTAGGTTTTTTAATTACTTTTAATTGTCAGCTACTAAACATCTCAGCGATTTGGTGTGCATAGCTCTAGGTAAGCAACAGAGAACTGTACTGATAACAAACCACATGGGGATAGCGACTAGTAAGAGAGAGCCTTATAAAAATTACATTTCTTTGCACCATTTCATATGGTAGTTGTTTCCTCCAAAAGATAGTCTTCAAAAGCAGCAGACAAACCCAATATATTACACTTATTTCTTTTTGTCTTTGACATATTTTCAGCCATGCTTTTATTTTGCTGGCAATGGCTAAATGGTGAGTGCCAAATCCCTCTTTTTTTTTATAATTAAAAAAAATGATCATGATTAATAACTATATATATATATCAACAAGAAAAAAGTGGCACAACTGCAAACTTGCTGGTATAACATAGTCCCAAAAGAGTCCGAATACTGAGCATGCTTTTGTTGTCATTGTTGGTGTGCTACTGCCATGGGAAAATTCTTGTTTAAGTAGGAGTCTAAAAGTCTATTTATTCCTCATGCATAACTGCATAAATCACATCACTTTTTAGTGCAATGCTTGTTATAGTAATATAATTTCACATTGTCTAATCATGAAATCATAACAACAGATAATGGCAATGAAGAACTGAAGACAGCAGGTTTAAGTGCTTAAACATCATGATACCCAAAGACAGGAGCATGGCAGTAGCTCTGTGGAATGTCACAGTTTTACAAGAACAATACTGTATATTTAAAGGTTAACAGCACGTTTAGCATTCCAACAGTGTTGTCATTCAGCAAACATCATTAAAAAAAGAGAAAAATGAGAAGGAAAAAAAAAGGAAAGGAATCCAAAACAGAAACAAGGAAAGGAAAGGAAGAACCCCAAAAAACATCATAGTGAGCTATAGCCATCAAATCAGCACTATGTACAACCTTTGGAAAGAAAGATATCTAGAAAAAAATAATTACAAGTATCATTTTTGGAAAGCTGACAAACTACACAGGACAACATTTACAATGGGGCTGATATGTGCATGTGTGCAAACCTAGTAGATAAATACCATGATAAAAGCATGAAGGTGCTGCCCTGCTGGACAGCATTAAAAGGAAATGCACTTCTCTGCATTTAACCGCTGCCCAGCATCTTTGTTGCACGCTGGTTGGCTTCATCAATCCTGGTTTTGTTGGAATCAGCCTGGGGAAACACAGAGGAAAGAGAGGGATGAGTACAGGGAAGAAAGAGAGTATGAGAGAAAAAAAGAGTACCGGGAAGAATGACAGTGCTTTGTGGGCAGTTCCATGATTTTGGCTAGGTCACAGGAAAATGAAACTTGAAAATACTGGAGAACTGCTCTTTATAGTGGTATGAGGGACCCAAAAGAAGATTACAGATTTTCTGGTTTTACTTCATGTAGCCTTCAAGCAGAGCTTTCTGTTTGTGGTCAGCTGCACTGAACTCCTGTAAATGCTGTGCCAGATCTGTAGCTGGTGCTGTCGATAGCACTGGTGGTACTGATGGTAATGGATGACAGCATGAGGACTGGTGGTGTGCATCTGCATTTTGCTGGGGAAAACTTTCAGAGCCCTCTGAGATTCAGTGGACCCAGACTGTGGTCTAACTTAAATCATCAGGTACTAGCCAAAATTAAAATTTTGGTCGGTGCAGAGACTCCCGGAGCAGAGAAGCTGGATTATCTGATGTAGGGAATGCTGGTAAAGATAAGTTGCTTTGAAAAGATCAGGATATCTTTGCTCTGCATGTGAAAGGAGGGGAATAGGTGAGAGGAATGCCAGCACTCCAAAGTTCACCAATGTGGTTGCAAGAGAGAGTAGCCTCTTTCATTGGGCAGCAGCATAAACAGTTGAGAAAAGGCAGGGATTCTATATAAAATGCCATTAATAAAATGGCAGCACCTGGGAGGTTGGGGAGTTCTCTCTGAGTGGGAAGACACTTGGGCCATGACTTTCTGTAGCTCTGCAGAAGTTCATTTTGGAGACTAAAGACACTGTTTTAGCTGAGAAAAACTGGCAAAACTCCACTCAACCCCACGTTGCCATGCCGACTTTTTTTCTGGCAGAGGGACAAGATAGAAAATGGTTTCAATTTTTAAAACCAGACCTGTGGGAAAGGTGAGAATTGTGTTGCTGCTTTAAAAGCATAGGCTCCCATAGCAAACTCTTTCTGTGGTTTGATGGCTGCATTTTGTTAGTTTTGATGATTGTTCCCACATCTCTGGGGTGTATCCAAATTGGACAGATTTATTTTAAATCTTCAATTTACAATGACAGAATGGTAAAGCAACTTTCCCACATGCATTTAAGAATCCTTTAAGAATGTTTATGCTCATGTGCAATAAATCTTTCTGAAATGTCTTGGCTTTTCTCAGTAATTGTTTTGGAAAATGCTATGTGTATTCTTAGTGCAGTAGCACGTGCCAGCTCCTCAACAAGCATAAATCAGCAAAACTACTCATTACAAGCCACACTCCTTTATTTTAGCCATGAGTTTGACCTTGTCTACCACAGCACAATTCTGCATGCTTTAGCCAAAAGGCCACCTAAAAAGTTAATGGGTTTGGAAGCAGTTGCCTTTGTCATGAAATGGGTGAATATTCATTGAACAGTGATGAAACATCGTGCTCCTGTGTCTGGTGGATGATGTTGCATTGGAGGCAGTGGGATTCTTTGTGCTGACCTTCCCACTTAGGTCAAGACAGAGTGATTTGAGACCCCTCTACTTTCCTCCCAGCCTCCTATTTATGGTAGATTTTAGGGGAAAGCCCTTTTGGTGATGGTGCTATTTGACCTACTCATCACACTGTCATTTTGGGTTTTGTCCCTTTCTCTCAGATCTGAGGAAAGGATAAAGAAAGCCTTTTATTCATTGCTGTCCTGGTTACTGTGGATAGATCAGATTACATGGCTGCATTATGAGGTTGCTCTGGTTTGGGTGCATTCATCCAGTATAACATAAATCCTTTAGGAGCATTTATGATGCATCCCAGGGTACTTTGGCTTAGCTTTGTGATGCACCCCAACTTTGCAAACTGTGCCAGCCAAGGGCACAGTTATGATCTTTCTAATGATCATAACTGACCCAAAGCACAGTGCTCCAGCTGATCAGGAAAACAACCCTGGCATTGCTGTGAGGGGGACGAGGGTCTGTTGCCATATTTCATTGCAGACTGGGTGTGTATGCAACTGAGGTTTCACCGTTATCCAGCTAACCATTATTTCTGTCTTTTATAGAGGGTTTTTCTAACACATTGTGTTCCTTTTTCTAGTACCTCATTACTGTATGTCCTTACTCTGAGAATTTTGGCTTATTTTTCACTAAGACTGAATATTGTCTTATTTTTGTGCTGCTCTCATGATGACTCCTCTGTGTATGATGCAAATCCATCTTTCACTAATGTGTCACTGTTCCTTAGCCAAGGGCCCTGGGTGATTTTATGAATGCATTAGCTGCCAATGTTATTTTGCCATTGCTGTACAAAATGCCAAAGTCTGTGAGAAGACCACAAAGCTGTGGAAGGCTGGTCCTTCAGCTCACTGCTCTCAGCATGCACTGTTAGAGGCTTGGCCCATGTGCTTTATGTGCACAGAGGGCCTGGTCAATGTTTTCAAAATTCAGATGTTTGCAAGCACGAGCTGGTAGGAGAACAGTAACTTGTTGGGCTTGCTGTATTTTGGGATAGGATCCTGCAGGCACGGGTAGAATGCCACTGATTTCCAAACACAGGGCACATCTTCTGCCACTGTGACATGAGCAGGGGAGGGGGGAACACAATAGTGCACGTCCTCATTGCTTTGAGAAAATAATGTATGTCACAGGCTTCCTAGTTAAAGTACTTATGGTGTAGGCTGTATAAACTCCCTGTCCCTTCTCAAAGTATAGAGTGATGTGCTGCTTTCTAGTTCTTTGCATATGAATAGCAGCAGTAAATCCTTTCCTCGATGACCCTCCTTTTCACAGAAATATGAAATGGTGCATAATGGCATCCCAGTAATACTGTGCATTTTCCAGCACAGTCAAACACATGCAGATTTATAAAGCAAGACTTTTGACCAACGCCAAGCCACGAGGAGGCTGCCTCTCTGTCAGAGATGATCTTCCCAGCCTTCAGACAATGTATACTTCACCCAGTTCTCTCTGGAATCTGCCTCCAGTAAGGAAAGCTCTTGGAGTGAATCCCTCAGTGCAGTATTTCCCTTAATTTTTATTACTAGGCTCTGATACAGTTAACTGACACAAAAAACAGGCATGGGCATTCTGCTTGTTTGAGGAGGCATGCATGTGTAAGAAGGCTCAGGAGCACAGCTCTACCACTTGAGGTCAGAATTAACTCTAAGCACCACATGTAAGTCCTTGGGTTAGCTCCTCAGGTTGTGTAAATCTCAACGGAAGTGGAGCATTGTGTTGGTTTTACACCAGATGAAGATCTAGCCTCTTATGTCACTTCAGCTTGCCTTTGCCTGGAGCTCTGCCAGTACCAATGCAGATGGCCTGCAGATCTTGGGATCTCAGGATGGCAGTGAGCTCCCAGCCAGGCTTGGAGGGGGCCGCTCTCTGCTTCAGAAATCTGCAGTGCAGGTCTGGCACTGGAACAGAGCTCCCTGCCTTTTTACATGGTGATTCTGCAGAGCTAATGCTGAGCTTTTGTATTCTACTGGGGCTGTGTGGGGCCCAATTATGTATAAATATATATATGTGTATATATATGTGTATATATATATATATACACACACACCCTCCTTCAAGAGAGCCGGTAGATCTCTGCCCTAATGTTGTTATTAGCAGCACAACAAAACTGGCTGCACTGCTGCTATATGGCAAACATTTGGGATTTTGTTAAATCCCCATCCTTCTTTGAGGACCGGTCCTCCAAGCAGGTGATTAATCCTGAGCTGCTCATGGAGTTTCCGAGGAAGGAAAAGCCCAGGAGGATTTAAAACTTTCCAGGAAGTGCAAGGGTAGTCAGATCCAAACCCCAAGGTTCAGCATAGCTCAGGGCACTTGTCCTTTTTCAGAGCTATTGAAGAAGGAGCCTTGATGTCTGCTAACGGGTCCCCTTGCAGCTGTGGGGCAAACTCAACAGCAAGGGTTCAACCCAGCCTGCACTGGAGATGCAGATTCACAGCAGTGTGCTCTGCTTTGGCCCAAGGATTTGGAGGGAGAAGAGAGGAGCTATTACTATCCCTTGTCCTTTCCAGGCCCATTTCTCCCCTTGGAGAAGGGAAAACAGAGCCCTTCTTGGGGTCCTCACAGAAAAGGCAGCTCTTACCTTCTCCATGATCCTGTCAATCTGGCGGTTCTGTGTGTCGATCTCGTTGCCCATGTCCAAGGCCATGTGACGTAAGTTGCCAATGATGCCGCTGACCTGCTCCAGGTTCTCATCCATTTCATTTTCCCGGGCATCGTTTGTTACCCTGGGGAAAAAAACCCAATTCTTTAAAGCACAGACAGGAGACTCCCCCTAAAATCGGGATTCACCCAAAACCTCCACTGCATTCTCCATCGCTTGTCACCTGAGGAGCAGGCTGCTGTGCTCAGCTTTGAACAAAATAGATTCATAAGCAGATAACCAGAAAAATGTTACATGCTTATTTTTTGGGTATTGGGCTCAGTTGTCTGGGTTATCAGTGCTCTGTTTATACTGCTCGTGTCTCCTGTGGGTAGAGGTGTTGCTGTCTGAGCTTGCCTGTACCACATGCTGCACCCCTCTGCAGTGATCATTCTTCCCAAAAAATGAAAGGGTGCTCCATTCACATTGTGTGTGGTTAGCATTCATGGGAGGTGCTGATAGGTGATGGAATTACAGCGATAGCAGCTCCCCTCCTTGGGCTGCAGAGAGCTAATGAGCACTGTCCAGTCCTTGTATGCTTGGGGTCACAGAGATAGCGGGGAAGAGGTGCTTCAGCTGTGAAAATCCTGACCTAGCATCCTATTTCATTAACTGCATTTCTGGTGAAAGACAGAAGCAGCTTCTTCCAGATTTACTGGCTTTAGTAAAGATCATTTATCTCTCATTCTTAGCACCATCTTGTGCAGTTGCTTTTTGGAAGGAAAAGTTTGTGCCTGAGCCAAGGCCCAGTTCAGCTCTCCAGTGACTGAAGAGGCAGGTGGTGACTGATGCTGGGAAAAGCAAGGTCCATGGGTGCTGCTCAGAAAATTCCTACTTTGAGCCTCTTATGCAGTTTGTGTTCATGTAGATGCCCAAAGGGTGCTCCAGGCTATTTGCAGAACAATCATGGTGCGGCGTAACTTCCTTCACTGCTATTTATTATCATGCCCCAGCCTTCATTTTGGTGAGGCTGCCATCCAGAAATTTTTAAAAAAAGTGAATGGCAGACCCATCAAACTTAAATGGCAACCCATCCCACGCTCCAGATTGCATGACAGCATTGTTTCTATCACACTGATTTCCCTTTATCACAGCAGCCAAAGAAATAAGTGGATAATAGTTTTTGGAAAGATAATTACTTATTAAACTAGTGTCCTTAATCTTCAGAGATCAAAGCTTTGCCTACTGGTATGCTGATAGCATTGTCTGCTAAATACATACCCCATAAGCTCTGTAATCAGTAGGTACTTTGTGCTGGATCCCTGTGGGGCTGCCTTTAATGTAGCTGTGTGCATCAAACTGGCTTTGATTTGAGAGCTCAAGGATTCCCACTCTGTTCCTCCATAGCTGTGGCCTCCCAGCAGCTGAGGAATGGGACATCATTCCCCATGCAGTGAGGTTTTGAGGACACTCATGAGCAGGGAAGGGTGCACCTCTAGTTTAAAGGGCTCTTCAGGTTCTGAGCTTGGCTCGGTGCTTTGGCAGGAAGCCTGAGGCATTTTTGTTGTTGAAAAGAAAGGGAGGGCTGCTGGATGCTTTGGTACATCTTCTGGCAAGGATGGATAATGGGCAATACATGCCTTGAGACATAATGGCAATAAACTAGTGTTTATCTGACACTTCATTTCTGAGGCATTTGACAAGTGTCATTAGTGAGACCTGTGATAAGGCCCCCAGGACAAGTGTTCACACAGGGAGCTGGAGTGCTGAGGACAATGCTGGCTAGCCATGGCTGTCTGGTCTGCACCCTCACAGTGCTGCTGTGAAATAAATAAACAGACTTCATTTCTAGTTTATTATTACCCAAATCTGGGTAGTCTCAAAAAGAAAGGTTTGGGCTTATGTTTTCAAGCATCTTCTGGACCAAGCATGAGGACAAAGACCCTTCCTTCCAGGATTTCCAGCAAGGTCACCATCCTTTGCACTAGAGCTCAGGTGACCCTCAGGCCCAGGAGAAGTCCCTGGATGCAGTAAACCTTTAGGACGTGCCTTAGTCACCATCAACTTGAAACCGAGCACCACTTGGTGGAAAACCCTGGCTCCATCCCATTACCCAGCACCTCTGAAGGAGTTAATGAGCACCACAGAGCTCATGACCATATGGAAGCAATCTAAATATATCAGTGACAAGGAGAGCAGAGAGAAAACAGTGGATAAAAAGGCTCACCTGCGGATAAAGCCACCACTGATGGCCATCTGCTCCCGTTCATCTACGACACGTGCAGGCTGGCTGGCTACAACACCATCCTGATTATTGCCCCAGGCCTTTTTGTAAGCATCGCTTGATTTAAGCCTATGCGAGAAAGATGATGAGTAACAAAGCTCCAAGTGCACAAGGACAAACGCAAAACTCTTTACCTCTCCAAGCTAAAAGCTGAATCAAGCACATGAGTTTTCAGATAGAGGGCCACTGTTTGTATACCGATATATCATAACCCTGAATAAAAGGAGGGGGTGGGTTTTTTGCTTATTTTTTACTTTACTGCCACAACAGTGATGGTCAGAGGTTTAGTTTCCAATAGGGTGAATTGCAGTTGTCAGGTCTACAACATTGCACACAGGATTTTGGATGTTGACTTAGTTTCCAGAATGAAGGAAAATTAAAAAAAAAAAAAAAAGAAAAAAAGAAAAAAAAAAGGAAAAAGAAGAGAAGAAATACAGATAAGTAGAAAACATTGTTTCATTTCAGTGACACATATGTTTTGACATCAAACACAGAGGACGTACTGGCAGACAGACATAAAAACAGAACTGCCAAGTATAGTGTGTACATCACATCACAGCAACACACCCTCTTAGAGAAAAACAGATTTGGCTATAATTTAACTTTTTACTATGCAGAATATTTGGCTTCTGATGATATTTTTTCAATATGTATGTGGCATAATAGGCATTAAAAGCCACTGACCTTTCCCAAGGTGATTTGGGGATGATTTTATCATAGGGTTCATTAGATTTTTCAAATAATATATCGGTACTTGAAAATAGTAATCATACATCGACAGTTGATGTACAAACCTTTGTCCACAGAGACAAAAAGTAAAATAGGCAGAAGTGAAATGAGTGCAGGAGAAAATAAAAGATACAAGCAATCTAGCATCAGAAAGGGAAATTTTTCTACGTTTTTCTTCATGCACCAGCTACAGGCATGAATAAGAAGTAAAGCATTCTCACTAAGCACAATTGCCCCAATAGTTCATCATACCCTCAATGCATCAGCAGTAACAGCCTTCACAATAAGCAAGACACAGGCAAAAAAGGATCATCATTTCCTTCAGGAGTTTTAAACCACAGGACTTCAAAAATGGCCTGGCAACTTGTTATATTTGTATTTTGTGGCAGTTACATTAACCTGCAGAGAGCCATTTTTGACTGAGCTGCCGTGGATAGAAAATTGAAATTCAGGCACCCCTAGAGTGGAAAATTGGCATGTGCAGCCTATTTAGGGCTGCTGTCATTGGGGTCAGCAGACAAGATTGAGCATTTAACAGGGGAATGTAAGGATTTGGAGTCCACAGGTATATGTTTGTGATTTTTTTCTGGAAATGGGTCTGTTTCCAACAAAACCACTGGGAGCTGCAAATCTCTGTGGCTTCCCTGTTCCCTGGTCAGCCCCAATCAGTCCTATAAACAGCTCTGTGGCTTGGATTTTGGGGAAGGAACTGAACGTGCTTCTGGGAGATTTGGGAGAGGACATGAAACCCATCTCTGGTGTCGTGTTCTCTCCATGCCCCCCACAGCAGCTCAGTTTTAAATGAGTCTGAAGATGTGTTGTATGATCCAATATAGAATTAAAATATAGATTAAAAGAGGATCTTTCCTACTCATCTGTTCTGTTGCTTATTTCCTATTAAAGTTTGTGAAGACTTAAAAATATGATGGTTGGCTTGTTTCATTTTAGTTCTCTGAAACTATACTTCAGCTTTGGCATTTCTAAAATGCCTGAAAGTAATTATCTTGCTGCAGGTACATTTACAGGGTTTTGCCTGTTCTTTGGACCTATGCAACTTTGTCAGTGAGACAGTTTCTGTGTTTGAGGTAAATGACTTTATACACCCAGAATCTGATCTCTTGTGGACTTCCAATTAAAGTCAACAGGTGGAGCTTGGATCTGCTCATGATAATAGGAGTTGTCCTTTTGAATGCAACCTGGTAAAAGTTCCATGCTGTGGGCATTTTCGATCTCCTTAGAATGTAGGATCAAGCTTTACATATTTTTAAGGCTCAGAGAACTGTACTTTCACTGTATATCAGGGTAGAGTTACATGTGAAGTGGATAATCATTTTATAAATATATGCCATTAATCTCCCGCTAGCCACAAGAGCTTTAGGGGATCATGGTGGTTCTGATGCCCAGAACTGTATGGATTTCTCTCTCTCCCACACTCCACTCCTCAGAACATCACCTTATCTGTACCAGGGGGGTCCTGGCTGAGTGACTCAGGGAACAGTCTCTAAAACCACTCTTCATCCATCCTCTGAGCATTGGTTAGCAATGCTGCTCTCTGAAATATGACTCCAGACTGATAGGGTCAGAATGGCTTGGAGAGGGGAAGAGGCCCCTTCACAAATTCATGTCCCCTCCATCTCCTGTGGAATCATTCTGTTCTTGCAGCATGACGCTGCAGCCATAGTGAAGTGCCAAATGTTTTAGTGCCACGTGCCAGGTGCTAATTCCACTGCTGTCACATGTCTGGCTGTCAGTTCTGAGCTTTTACAGCTCCTACAGTGTGGGAGATGTGAAGTTTCTGCTGCAGCTCTTGTGCACCAGCTCCTCTGGTGCAGGACAGCCAGGGCTACGGCCTGCCAGAGCTCACAGTGCTTGCAGAAGGGGTGTAAGCAGCCCTTCCCATTCCTCCTGCCCCCTCTCCCATTGCACAGCAAGGCTATAATCATTCTGGGCAAAATGTTTACCTCAAAAAAGTGTTCAGGGCTTGGTACACAGAAGTAAAATACCTGAGGCAGTATCTGCATTGTGTCCCAAGGGAATTAACTTCAAAATAAATGTGACTGATAAGGCAAAACCCTAGCCCTGCTCTTCTGATTTTTGGCAAATACCCCATGAACTCTATGACAGCTCTCTTTCTTTTTGGTCTTGATAACTGGGGAAGGATCAGGCTTTGGCTGTGAACAAATTTCACGTAGAAAGGGAATTAATTACTACAGCAATACTTCTCTCTGCTTTGTCTCCTGCACGATATGTGGCCAACCATTTAGGAATGTTTCACTGCAACCTAGTTTCATGCCTACTCACTGCATGCTGGATTTGCCATTCCTCAAGGACTTTGGGTTGGTCCCCAGTTTCCTACACCCACATAACCGCACACCACATTTTCATTTGGCATTTAAAACAAGCTTGGCATTACTTGGAGGACGGTTTCGTTCAAGTGTGATGGCATGCAAGCAAATTCAATGCATTTCAACATTTCTGCTTAGTGTACGTGCTACCCAAATGAAAGAAATTTTGCTTGTTGAGGTTTTGTCAAATTTTTTGCCTGTGGCAGGATGAAAACCATTTCAAGTTGGGTTCCAATCATGAAACGTCACATCTCTTTCAAGATCTCATCAAGGACTATTTCTGCTGAACAACAAAAAAAGCTCTGATTTTCATCCACAATTTGGAACAATGTTTAGTAAAACGTCTTCTGCATTTTTTCAGCTCTTTTGTTTATGAAACTTGTTTGTGAAAATATGTTTCAAAATTTAGAGTGTCCAGGAATAAGGTAGCCCCAAGTGTTTTTGTCCGCTGGAAAATGGACTCAGTACCACTCAGTACACTTTGTGTAAAATGTTGAAACTTTTACCATTAAAAGGTGTCAACAGTGAAGCTTTCACTGCAGTATGCCTGATTTTAATGCATCTACAGTAATTCCCAGTCAGTTGTCTATGCTATGAAATGAATGCATTTGTACCAGAATCGTTCTTTCTGCATGCCACATGCTCATCCTGTCCATGTGCCTAGCAAGGATGAGCTTCACAAGGCCTTTGGGATCAGCCTTAAGTGCTCAAAGAGATGAGGCAGGCAGCACCTACTTGTTACATGGACAGACACAAAGACCACAGAATTTTCCTAGGTCCGTCAAATTCTTTTCTGCTTCTTTCATGTCCTTATTGATTTGGTCCATTCCCTCTTCGATGCGTTCCAGTTGTTCTGATTAAACACAAGTATTTTATCCCCACAGAATGAAGCAGATGGAAAAGGACAAAGAAAAAAAAGACAAAAACTTCAGACATTCACTGTGACAAAAAACTGGACACCACATAGCAGAGCCGGTACCCAGTACCTACTTGTTACAAGGACATATGAAAAGGCCACAGCATTTCCCTAAATCTTTTAAATTTTTCTCGGCCTCCTTCATGTCTTGGTTGATATGGTTCATGCCTTCTTCAACACGATCGAGTTGTTCTGGTCAGGACAAAGGGATGACAGTGTGGAATGAATTGTATTTTTGTTTGTTTGATTTTGTCTTCAACAGAACATGAAAAATGACCATGTAGAACTGAGTTAATAATGACATTACAATGCATTAATCTGAGCTGATGCATTGCTGAAAGGATGTATGCTGCATTGGATGCTGAAGATTTTTTTTTATTAGTATGGGAAGAGTAAAACAAAGGAGAAATTTATTTGAAATATATTAATATAAACAAGATGTAATGATGTAGAAAGGAAGGGTTATAAAGTTCAAGGTCCAGAAACATAATACAATACATCAACTTACTAAGACACAGTGACATCCAGGAGAAAGAAAGATAGTGTTATTATTTTGCATTATGTATGTTAATATTAGAGAAAAGAAGTCCTTCCATGGAAAACGCTTCTGTTACTTACGCTTACAAGTGCCTCAGAATTAGGTGGGTTTGGGCAGCACAGCTGCTGTGGTAGTGAGTGAGAGAGCTGGTAGTTAGTGGGAGTGGTAAATGGAGCAAGCTGTTAGGGCTTGTGTCCAGGTACCCTTTGTTCCAGAGGCCAAGGAAACAGACCTGTCACTTTCACTGGTGCTGGATGTTGATCTCTAGCCTGAGTGTGGCCTCAGGGCTGGTTTTCTTCCCCGTGTGGGTGCTGCAAATCAGGAGTAACCTCAGTGAGCAGGAACAACTGAAACCACTCTGGGATGCTCTCTGCGAGAGGGTCACCGGCTGTGGTGCTCCTTGTCTCTGGCCACAAGGGACCTTATGGAAACAGGCATTGGGTGAACAGTCATGTCTTCAGTGGGGTCACTTCTGCTTTGCTCCAGGACAAGTTAAGAAGCACCAGGCCTAAAAACCAGCCAAATATAGACCCTAACTCTCTGCTGGCATTAAAACAAAATTTGGCATATTTCCACCTAAGGCTGATGGGTTTTCTTAGTGACTTGGTTTTCCAAGTAACTTGGTCTTAATGTGTTAATTTTTTTCACTTTTAAAGCTGGGAAAAATGTCCTAGAAGAACGGAATGCCATGACATAAAAGTATAGGAACAGGATTCTCCACTGAGGTAAACAGATATGGATCCAATTGGATCGAGTGTCTTGTGTGGAGTCTGCAGTAGGGACAGCATTTTACATGGGATTTACATTTTACACCATTTGTTCCCAAAGGATAGATTCAGATACTACCCAGAATCAAAAAGGTACTTGGAGTGGCATTTCAATCCATTAAAAATTGTAACTGTACCTAACAAGGAAAAGTAAAGCAGTCCCAGTAAAATACAAACACGTCCCTAGTCCCCATATGGAATAGAAAAACACTGAATTAGACTGTAGAGGAAGGAACTAAGAGCACTGGTTATAGAAGGAATTTAATGTCATCCCTGATGTTAACTGAGTCCTCTCCAGAAAAATAAAAGAGGAAGAAAATTTTAGAAGAAAAATCATATGCATATTGATGTCAGTAAAAACTTCCTCTTAACTTCATTGAGAACATGAAGATTCCTAATTTCTTACTCGGGTTTTTAATAACAATTGAGGTTTAGCTTTTCAAAGCTTTCTGGGGGGTTTAGATGACCATTTCCCATTAAAATTAATTTTATTTAATTAATTTTAATAGGAAACAGGGACGTTAGTCCTCGAGGGGCTAGAAAATCCTAGAAAAATTATTCAAGCTTGAATAGTTCAAGTATTGAACTTGTACTCTTTGTTTAATTCTTGCATGACACTGGACTTTGAGAAGGAGAGGTGCCATGTCAGTATAGTGAGATTCATCTGCCTTTCTGCTGTCAGTTCTCATCCTCCTCAGCTGGATGGGCCTCTCTCCTGGTCCCACGGGAGTTATTGTTCCCAAATCCAAGGATATATTTAGAGGATCAGAGTCACTTGGCAGTGCCCTCTAAAGGGGCACACACTGTGTAAGAAAGGATTGGGAAACAGAGAAGGAAACCTGAGAGAGGGGCTGTACAAGATCAGCCAGATAAACTGCTCAGCTGAGCCAGAAAAGCAAGGTTGGATTGTCTCAATGCACGTGTAATGCAGGCTTCAGCAGAAGCTTTGGTTGGTGTCTGTAGGCACAGATTGTCACTCTCATCAGAAATGTGAGTCTGTGGCAGAAGGGGACAGCCCTCCCTGTGCTCCTGCTCCGGGGCTGGGCAATGCTTGCTCCGGCTCTGGGGAGCAGCTGTGGCACTGTGAGCTGCCTTTGGTGCTGCTTCATGCAGCGGGATGGGATTTGCTGCACTTCTGTCTCAGGCTCCCAGCTCCTGCTTCCAAGCGCTGCAGAGCCCCTTGGCAGCTAAGGAACGGCTGGACCCACATGTGCATTTTGACTCTGGGGAACATGGCAGGCATTTGATCTTTCTTCCACTGATTTTCCTGCTAGTGCTTCTCTAACCTGGTCTGTCCAGTAGCAAAAGCCGGGTTCACCCTGCATGGGTCAGTCCTAGATCTGGTGCCACTGGTAGCTCTCAGTGGAAGCAATTCTCCTTGCCCAGATGCACATTCTCTAAATCCATGTATGCAACAGGTCCTTTTGAACTGTCTTTACCTGTTCTCTGTTCTGCCTCAATAAATGAGTGCTTATTGAACAGTATATTTGACATAACTCGAAGACTTCCATTTTAACTACAGTCCTCATTAGAAGCTTGTCTTTATTTATCCTACCTCAGGATTTGTGTTTGATGCCTGGACTATTGCTGAATAGGAAAGGGAGCCACAACTCATTTATCTTCCATTAAAGCAAACCTCATCAGTATAAAAAAACCCCATGTCATATTTGCAGCCCAGAAGTCTAGACAGCTGGCTGCTAAAACCTAAAACCACTTGCTAGTTGTTAACGTCGTGGGCTGGATTGTTAACTGGTTTGAGTCAGCATAGTTATGCTGGCTTTGTGGAGCCATGCCAATTTATACCTGTCAAAGATCTGATCCCACAAGCAAGGAATTAGATTCATGAGTCTAACCACAATTATTGAGGCATAAATATTATAGTGGAATTAACTTAATGGGGTCACTCTGGATTTGTTTTGGTATAACTGCTATTAAACTGTGGCCCAGAATGAATCACTGCCGGTAGGAAATCAGAAGGCAATCGAGAGGTTAATTTAATGTCTGTTTCCATAGATCTTCCCTATTCCAATGTTCTGTGCTGTATTAAAGGTTTTAGGGAAGACAGTTTGTTGGCATACATTGCCATGAACCTACGCAAATTCACGCCTACAAGAGATAATGTCTTTTGTCTTCCATTTAGAGAAGCCCTTCAAGGTCAGAGTTTGAACATCTTTTGACAGTTTGTTGCAATATTATTTGAATAAGCTGCACCTATATGTTTATGTATGATATATGATATATACCTAAGAGAAGTGATGTTGTCTGGAAGCAGAATACACATCAGAGGTATATTTCATTGTGATTTCCTTCATTTGTTTTCCCCTCTGGAAAATGCTGCAACTCTTTTTGTATCTTGATGTCCGAGAATATCACTTTCATTTCAAGGTAGTGACCATAAATCTTCTTCCAGATCTCACAGCAAACAAATGGCCTATCTTAAGGCACAAACAAATAGATTTTTACCTGTATCATTATACTTGTGAATTACTTCTGTAAGGTAACTGGGGGAACACAAGCTAGTCCTGTTAGTTTTATCATAGCATTGTGACCATTTGCCAGCGGGTCTTTGCCAGGATCTCCTGTACCATCCTGGCAATTCCCCATCCTGTGACTGATCTAGGGAAGTGGCTGGGGCAGGGAAGCTGTAGCAAGGGCATCTCTCAGCTGCTCCTGTGGTGTCTTGAGCAAAAAAAGCTGCAAAAGCATCTTACAGGGCATTGGTAGCAAGACCAGCACAGAGCAAGTGTGGTGTTGCTTCACCTTTGCATCCTCATCTATCATTTCTAATAAATATTCCTTTGCTGATGTCCAGGATCTGGGGCCTGTGCTTGAATGTCAGCTAATGCCTGTGGAGGCTGGAACTTGCCCCTTTGTCTGGAGTATTGTGCAGCAAGCAATTTCCCCCAAGGCCAATTTTAATAAGAAAAAAAGGAAGACAACACAAAGGACATCTTAAGAACACATGGCAATCATAATTGCATACAAGAGGGTTTAATTTGAGACTCAGCAGATTAACTATTTCCAATGCTAGGCCATCATTCCATTTTCCATGAAGGAGAATCATACTGGAGTGTGGCCTGTGGGACAGCCTTTTCAGAGATCTGAGCTCTGACCTAGCTGTGCTCTGGAAGGCACTGCTGGGCACAGGCACCCGTGGAACAAAGCTGGAAGGGAGAGCTGTGAGCCCACGTGGAGCTCTGCTAAAAATAACAGGAGACAAAAGCACAACCTGCTTTGTGGGGCTTCATCTGTCTTCTGTTCTGTGCTACGATTTCAGCATAATTAATACCATCTTCCCTGGGAAAACTGCAGTAGCCGTTAGCCCCTTTTATTTTGCTAATTAGCCATAACATACACAACTGCCAAACCCACAGCTCCTGCAAAAGCAGTGGAGGTCAGCTCTCATGTGTGCCAGTGCTTTTGTTTGTGGGATTGCCCAGTTATTTCCAAGTTTTATCTCCTTTATAAGCTTGATCTGGAGTAAGATCTGATAGGTAGATTAATCTGCTCCCCATGTTCCCCAGCAATGCTGTTTGTGCATTCATGGTGCAAGGAGAAAATTCCAATTGCATTGACATTTTCTTTGTCTCTTATCAAAGTTGTGGCTATTCCTCTGTCTTGGATGAAAAATTACTGCGCTGCTGCTGTTGTTATTGGAAGAGTTTTTCCCCTGCACCTCATTTGGAATACAAGAACAAAATTTTCTGTAATAAACTGCATGAGGACATCACCACACAAAAAATGTCTTTGAAGGTCCAAATCATTAACCCTGCTATGATGTCCAGTGATGGGAGTTTCCTATGGACGAACAGTTACCAGCCTGGAACCTTTTCTGTGTTAACACTTCAGGTTTACCTTCATATCTTCACTTAGTACTATTAGTTTCATTTCTACTGTTTGCTTTTACCCAAAATACATCCAGATATTAACATTTTTCTAAGTTAGCATGTTTTAAAGAGGCAGAGGAATTGCCATTGCTCAATAATCCTTTGCAGCATTTATTTTTCCATGTAAAATACAAGTATTTTAGTTTAAAGGGTTATATATATATTTATATTTATATGATTAATTAAGGGAGCTTTACTCAAGGCCAGATTAAAAAAATGTAAGCATTATGGATGCACATGGTCTGGGAATGACTTTCTTAGTGATGGGAAAAAACCCAGCAAGGAAAATCTAAACTCCTGGCTCCTTCCTGTGGGCTCCCCAGGGGAAGAGCTGTGTTCAGCTGGTTTGGGTGACAATACCCGACCCAAAAAATGGTAACTTGGTGTTGCAGAGGGGCTACTCAGGTCCCCATTCTTCAGAGGACACTGGAAGAGCCTCTAGCTTTCATGGGAGTGCATCCTCTGTAACCTGCTGTGCAGCCAGCTGTGCTAAACCTTTGGGCAAGAGCAGCTATCCAGGCTGGCTTTGTTGTACAAATACCTGGCATTGGGAAATTACCTTGGCTTACTGCCTTTATGATCCCGGACACTTCTGCTCACTGATACCAGAAAATCAGTTCTGCTTTGCACCATTTGGGTTGAATTGGCTCAGAAAGGTTTTTCCATGTAAGGTCTGTTTAACTTCAAAACAAGCAATTTTGTAAGGAAACCTAGAAATAGAGCTTCCAGCAAGTGCAGAGATTAGATCTTCTGCCTGCCGCCCACTGGAAAGATCAATGTCATGTTTTCTGTATATTTAACACCTAATAATCTTAAGTGACTTGTGCAGTCAGCTGCAAAGAGATCACATGGCAGTGTTAGCAAATGATTTCCTTAATCTGATAATCTGCTGAGACATGCGTGAGCTGCACACATTGCACTAATTACAGAGGGTTCAAAGTCATCATTAGTGTATTTTGCCCAGTAGTGCAAGTCCTTTATCACTAAAATGAAATAAAAAAAAAATTAGCAATTATTACACCTACATATGGTTAAATGGAGAAAATTAAACATTTAGCATAGTACAAGGTTACAATATTTTCAGGGTTGGTTACATTATTTGGCTGTTTTCCTTGAGAAACCCACACTGTATAGTCATAAGCTAAATTTAGTGAACCACTTAAGGCATGAACATAACCAATTTAAAGAGGCTTCAAGACCTTCTGAGTCTTTGCTGGAGGTATTGACTAGCTGCATCTGTGATTGTACAACAAGCATTGCAGGTTTCACTCTCAATAAGGGTTTAATACTGAGCTCCCTGGACTCCAGGGAGATGAGTGTGTCCAGTCTCAGCTCCTTAGCTCTCTCACATTGTCCTTCCTGTCATGGCTACAGAGTGAATCACTCAGAAAACTTCTGAATACAGGGCTTTATCAATAGTAGAATTCCAAAATAATAATTAAAAACCCAACAAAATTCAGCATTAAAATAAAAAAAAACTCCCTAGCAGTCTGTGGAAATAGAGCAGTTAGGGAACAGAAACATACATAGGAGCCACTAAAGTTTCTGGTACTCTGCCTGTGAATTACATTGCAAGACACACCTGGGTATTAACAGACTTTCTTTGACAATATTTGTGATTTATTACAACCGTATAATCCACTGCTGAAACAAAACACATTATTTAGACAGGTGCCATATCTGTTTCAACATAAGTAATTTCTGATTTTCTGTATTTGGTGATAGTTTTTCTACTGCCATTATTTTTTGAAGACAACTATATGTTCTCTGTGATATTTTTCTTGTCAAGACAAATCGATGTGACAAAATTTGGTTAAATTTTTTTTCCCTAAATGAGGCATATGGAGGGAGAGCAATGAGACGTACATAGAAAAAAGCAAATAGAAGAAAAGACTTTCCATTTAGGTCCTGTTATTACTTTTCATTCATTATAGTGTCATAGAGGAGGGACATTAAAACTGGAAAGGTCCTGTTGTGCTCTGCAGTCCATTTCCCAAGAATTCCATACCCTGGCTTATTATCATTGTCCAGGTTTGATGAGTAACGCAGCATTGCCTCTGCAGAAGACATTTCCTAATAATAATTGTGTGTCCTGCCCCATAGTAAATAATAACAAGGGCCTTTGGGGGGCTGGTCTGATAGAGAGTAGCAGAAATTTCTGCTCTCTTGATTTATTGAAGACACCATTTTCCTGGGGCTGTGGGTCTACGGCAAATGAAGACTTATTAGTTTGATTGAGAGGGAGAGAAGGCTACCTTTTCTTTGTAATATTATGAAGGGAAAAAATGTAATTTCCTGGAATGTATTGAATATATCAGGCTCTGTCTTTGTCATTGTCATCCGCAGACAGGTAGTGTAAGTCTGAACCTCCTATATGGACAATTGTAATGAGCTGATTGTGGAATACCTTTTAAGGTTTAAATTCTGTTATTCTCACTGCCTCACTACTGTACAAAATGTAACTGAATCTTACACAAATTAAACCCATTTACCTTCTCTTGGGATGCATTTGTTGCATGTCTTTCACTTGTGATTTAAGTGGGAAAATTACTTAGCACCTGCATAAATAATGCTGGATTTTACACCTACAGAGGCAAATCTTCTTGTCATGTAGCTGGATCTTGAACCAAAGCTTGCTGAAATCAAATGGTGATTTGGTTCAGTTGAGCCTGCAGCTCTCTTTGACATTAATGGAAAGCAGATCAAAAGAAGTACAGACTTTTAGGCAGCTGTTGTACATTTTTCTCTGCTGGAGAACAAAGCTAAAGGCAAAGAGGTTTTGGGGTTCTCATGCACAACCACATGTATTTTCTGTCCCTTGTTTCCAGGGTTGCACACAGTCAGTACAGCACTTTAGAAAGGGTTATACTTCCTTACTGAAGCAATCTGAACTTACCTCCTTGCTCATCCAACATAACCAAAGTCCTGATACCAGCATCTTTACTCTACATCCCAATAGTGGTAGCAAGGTAAGGAGAGAGAGGGGGAGAAGAGAGAGAGAGAGAGAAAGAGAGATCAGTGAGGGAACACTCAGTCCTTGGTATGGGACATAGGAAGACACAAGAAAAACAGTGAAAGGAATGACAAAGGGCTGATGGCACAGTCCAAAGGCTTTATGTGCCTGGACACTGTGTGAGGAGCTAGGTACTCTCCATTGTACCATCAGTCCTTCTGGATTCACTGGGATACCGAACTTCTGCAAAAAGCACAAAGCCATGGACCTTGAGATTAAAACAAGCACTTTACACAAGAGTAATCTCTAAAAAGAGAAGGCTCATCTCCAAGTCCAGGGAAGCAGGAGAGGGGAGGATGGGGGTGTTGATATTGTAGGTGGATGTGAATCTCACAGGAGAAATTCCCAGGGAAAACAGGTATGACACAAACGTTTGGGAAGGTGGCACAGTGGTTTGTGCACAGCTCTTGCTGCTGACAGAAGTCAGAAAGCTTACCTACTTAGGAAATCCAGTTTAAAGCAGGCTAATATTTAATAGGATTAAGCCATATTTTTTGGCTCAGTGATCTAATAGATATGGGTTTGAGCCAAGTTTTAATTCAGTCAACAGACACCTTTAGCATTAATGGACTTTGAATTGAGCTTGAAGGTAGGATTTTCAAAACACCTACACACTGAATCTGCCTCTGCTCCCGGAGCTTAGTGGGAATCTTACACTGCCTTTGCTGGATACAGGGCTGGAGCAAAGCTGAGCCAGGGGTAGGGCACCTCTCACAAGTATAATTTTTATTATGTGTTATCATCATTCTGGGATATGATCAGGTGTCTCTGGTTCCTGGGTGCTGTGGTGCTCAGCTAAACCACACATCAAATTATCTCCTTTTTAATTACAAAGGGGAAACCAGCTCCATTATGCTTGGAGCAGTGATAACATCTGTGAATAATTAATGGCTTGAATGATCTCCTGACTGTTGCATGTCAATAACAGATGAAGTAAGTCCTCTGTGGCCTGACAGCTTGACAGCAGAGCTACCTGGACATGTGCAGCAGTAATTTACTTGTTGCCATGAACAGAAAGTGATCCATGCTCCTGTGAAACAGATAAAGGTGGTGGTGGTGTCGATTTTGCAGAGGGCAGGGAGATGCCCATGGTTGCACAGCTACATCAGGAACAGAAAACTAAACTCCTGACTGACCCTCTTGCTTTTCACCACTCCTGGAGGCAAGTCAAGGACCTCATGTTATCCTTCCTGCCAGCTGCCCTTCTCACTGCCCATCAGTTTTTGTGGGTGCAGTGAAGTGTCTGTGGCCATGAGCTGCCCTGCCCACGCTCACAGGGCCCTCCCAGGCTCCCACAGCCCACGCTGGCTCAGCCACAAGCCCAGCCCTGCCACACTCAGGGCTGTTTGCTTGGGCAGCTGGTGCTGCCCTGCTGTGTTTCCAGAGGATCTGCTCGGCTCAAGAGGGACACGAGATACCTCTGGCTGTGCCCTTCTCTGCCTCTCCCTGCACCCCCATTCATGTCTGCAATGTCTACATCACTGCAGAAACTGGAAAAGCATCAGATGTGTGCAGGCTGGTTTGCTGTCTCTTTGTAAAAAGTCCCTGTGTGAGTTGCCAGATGTCCAGAGAAGCCTCCTTCTTCCCCCAGGTCTGCTGCACCCTGCTGCCCTTGGGTCAGCCATCTACCAGGAGCCCACTGCTGCTCTCTCTCCCTTCAAGGTCACTGTATTTACTTGAATCCCAGCCAGCCTTCATTTTTGCAGCCTTTTGAAACTTAGGGTGCGAGGCTTATCTTAGGTTTGCCAGTTTAGAATAAAGAAACCACCTTTAATGAGCTAATGTTTTCTGTGGGGCACTAAGCACCCTGTGTCTGCTAAGCACTGCCTGTACAACAGTTTTTATTGGATCTTTTTATACTCTTGGTAACCAGGGAATTCCCCCCTCCCCCCCCCCCAGATTTGTATGTATTTTAACAAACATGGAAACTCATGCAAACACTAGAAGGCTGCTTGGGTCCTGAGTCACCTTGTGTTTCAGTAAATAGGGTGCAGTCTGACATGGGACCTTTCCAAATACTAAGCTCCAAAAATTTTTGCTGAATCAAACATAGTTGGGCTAAGAAATATTTACTGCTCTTCAACCCTCTGACCTTATTTTCCTGCTGTGTTTAACATCTAAGCAAACCACCTTTACAGAGCTAAGATGTCCAGTGATCTGAACAAGACATGTGCTGGGAGATGAGCTCAGGAACTAGACCCTATGGTTTATATTTCACATCAAATGCTTACACAGAGCAAAAGAGGTGAAATTTTCTGTTCTTTACCCAATCATCAGCGCCATTTAATTTTATCAGGCAACACTGTATCTCTTCCAAACAGCCTGCCATAGCATTAACACAAATGTGAAAATATTAAAGGGTGTGCAATGAATAAACTTGTCTGCATCTGTGGTCTAATCCAAAGCATATTGAAGCTAATAAAGAGGTGGTGACTGAAAAGGATGAGATGTGATTCAGACATCAAGTGACAATCTCCTTCTGTTCCAAATTTCTATTAAGCATTAATTTACAGCTTTTCCCCAAAAAGAATTAAATGTGTAAAATCAATCAAAAAATAAATCATGTTTGTGCATTTAAAATAGGCCCAGACTTTTCTAAAAGCTCAGTATTTCCATTATGGCTGATATCTTAGACAACAGAAACCCAAACTTCTCTGTAAGACAGAACTATTCCAAAAATGTGTTCATCATCCAGATGTCTGAGCAGGAGAGAAGCACTCTGTGTCTGATCCCCAGGGACAACAGACTGAGGCATCTCTGGAAAGTACAAGACCTCAGTTAAAGAAATCTAGGGGAAGAAATGTGTCCCACAAGAGTGTTCAGGGGGCAAACACAGGCACGTGAGTCTCAGTGGAGCAGGTGCCACCCGAGCTGGCTGTGGGGACAGTGTGTGACAGGAGGTGATGAAAGCTCTACTGTCAAGTGCCAGTCCAGAAGGACAGGTTTCACAGCCTCTGCCTCTGAGTCCTTGGTTACAGACTCACTTCACCATGGCCCAGTGACTGTGCTTGGCTCTGGCTGCTCCTGAGGGTTCAGGAAGGATTCCCACACACATCCAGTGCTCCCCAATATCAGTGATGCCCTGTGTGGGAAGCCATGAATTCATAGAACTAGTGGGGTCCATCATGTTATGAAATCGTGTGCTCAATTCCCACCTTGCCTGGGATTAGAGTGTTTCTTCCCTCCTGAGCAGTGGAGGAATCTCTTCAGACCCTCCAGTCCTTGTAGAGGCAATCCTGTATTATTTTAGCAAAACAAGGGTTCTCAGAAAAGTGAAATGCTTAGGGTAGGTCAGGCCAGAGAGATGAGAAATGCATCTTTCACAGGACCCTAGAAAGTTCATAGAGCACACGCCATTTTCATCCAGCTCTTTAATCTGTAGCACCCATCTCTTTTGAGAACAACTTCTGACTCTCCTTGTCTTCTCATTGCACTTGAGAGGAGAATTTGGACTGCTGGATTTTGCCATGGCGCAGCCAAACTCTCACATTCTTGTCCTTTATAAGAAAATGGCACAGCAAGAATTGCTAATGTTGAGGCATTAAACTGGCAGCCCTGGATTTCCTCTGTTTATCCATAATGCAGGTATTCTGCAGATGGTAAAATATATAATATATAAAATAATTTTGCGCATGAGATAACCCTTCAGGGCAGGAGGCCAACACTTCTGACTTAAAAATGTATCACATTAGGTGAAACAGACTCCGTACATTTCAGGAAAGTTTATGTCCTTCAATCTTTCAGCCAGGCTCTAATGCTTGAATAAAAGCAAATGAACAAGCAGTACTGGTTTGGATTCTGCATCATTTATATGAAGCACATGCCCAGGTTCTCCATTTGGTCACTGGCAGAGCTATTAATCAAAGAACCAGAATATATGATTTTAAATCTTTGGGCTTAATACAACTCATAGATACTTTAGTCTGTCAGTGCTACAGTGAAGCCTGGTTAACAGCATTACTGGGAACCCTTTTGGAGGCTTTAATAGACATTATTCTTAGTCTTCTGTAACAGCTTTTTAAAAAATTTTGGTTGCTTTTGCTTTGGGTTTTTTGTTTGTTTGTTTGTTTGTTTGGGATTTTTTGTTAGGGTTTCACTGAAAGCATGTCAGCAACAAAACGTTCACTAAAATTTGCCCAGCACTTTGGAGGGGAATTGCATTGCTGTATCATTTCTTGTTATTGCTGCTACAGAACCTAATTTCCCAAGATGGAAATAAAAGTGAGAAGACAATTGGACTGACTTCTCAAAGGGCTCATCAGTCCCTCCAGAAACACAGTGTGTTGGGTCCTATCCTACCAAAGGCTGCTACTCAAATTTTGGTTTAGCCTGAGTGAAGATTTTCCTAATGCTGTAAGGGGATGCTGTATCAGATAGAGAATCCAAACTCTGGAAATCACTTTCCCTGCATTTCAGGAGGTATCCTGAAAGACAAATATACACTCTCAGTTATGTGAAGAACACATAAACTTCCACTTCGATGAAGAATTTTGCTTTAATCCAGAATTAGAGTTTGTTTTGAATAAATTAATACAGACAATTATGTACCAGGACAGGCTGACATTGCTAGCAGTTCCCACAGACACTAAAGAGAACTGTCAACACCCTAAAGACAAAAATGTGGTCAAAGAAACATTTTTTAGTCATCCGTAGCAATGAATTTGCTCAGCTCCTGCTCCAGGTTCCCTGTCACGCTGTTAACGCTCCAATGTCTCCCTGATTAAAGAGGCACACGCTGCTGCTCTGCCTGGTAAGGCACATCCCAGCCCACGTGAATCTGCTATCCCCCTGGCTAGCACACACCAAGGGGGCCAATCCTGCACTGGAGGAAGAGAGGCCAGAATTGTGGATCACATTCCCTCATGCCAGATATGTGCAATTACACTGGTTAAAACACTTTTCTCAGGAGAATGCTTCCAATAGTTCAGTACTTCCAATAGGTTTAATGATATCAAAGGTAAGTTTCAAATCAGCTTTGACAAGGTTTGGGCCAAACTCTAAATTAATAGAGCACTTTTTCTTCTGTTTTTTTCAGACTAAGAGGCATTTGGCTGTGATAATAAATGTCAGGGCACCCTCACAGCTGGTAAATTGGCATTCTGTGTGTTCAGTATCCTGCATAGGGCAGCACCAGTAATCAAACATTTATAGCTCAGCATTTCACCTTCGATACTTCACTCTCATCTCACATGAGAGAAGACAGTGCTGTCTGGATTTAAATGTACAAAACAGCCCTTTTGTCTGTACAATCCTAAGTGCTTTCTTCTGAGCTTTTACCACTACTGATCTTGTTATTTTTTCCTTGCTGCTTCATAGCTATAAAACATCCTTTTTTCCCCTATACTACCACAACTGATTTTCCTTAAAGGCCATGATAGTGGCACTGGGAGATGGGAGCAAAATTCCAGCTTTTCTTCCTGCATGTGATATTCTGCATTGCATAATGTTGCCTCAGAGAAAAAAAAAGCTTGAACACAAAAAGAAGGTCAGCTACAAACTCTATTTAGTCTCACTTGTTCTGCCTCACTTCATTTTTATTTTATGTTTTGGCCCAAACATTGCAGAGCATCATCATAAAATACAGGTATTGATAGCACTGAGTGGCTCAAAAGAGCGCTGGTCAGTGCAGATTAGCTGCACTGCCTGGACACAATGGGCACCATGGAGCAAACTGGGCTTTGGAATCTGCTATTCCAGTACGGAGCTGCCTTGGGGCAAAGCTGGGGCTGCTTTTGTAACACTTCTTGACTCCCTTCTTGTACCAGAACTGGAAAAATCAGCTTCTTGCAAATCTGGCTTATAAAACCAAGAAACAATGACATCCTTGATTTTCCTTGCCCATGTTCCCTGAGAACAGCATCGGGGCTTAGTCTCCAAACTCTGAATTGTCTTCTGGGGCAAGCAGGGCGTGTCCGCTGGGGACATGTCCCCAGGCTATGACCTGCAATTAGGTCTTAGATGGCTATGGGGCTTCCTTGGATGGACAGCACTCTCCTGGCTCAAGGATGGAGTTCAGTCAGTCTGTTTAATCCATACAAATGTACACAGTAATAATGCTTAAACATGGAGGCATCCTTTTCCTAAGAAAGGAAGAACAGATCTGCTGTGTCAAGACAACAGAGTGAAAAGAATTCTTTCTATTATTTTCTATCTCTGTCTACTAGACAGGTTCTGCTAAGTGAGGAAGCCTAATTGGATTTTGGAGGATTATTAAATCAGAGCAGTGCAAGTTCAATTTCAAATACTCTCGCCATTTGTCTTTTCGGTATAAAATCTTTCACTCCCTAAATGCTGCATTTTTTTAAAAAGTACCTAGGAAAAGAGACTGGAATAATCAACCAGCTGTTTAGGCCTCAGAAGAATTTTAAAGGTCTCCTGTAGTCACATTAGTGAAAATAATATTCAGCTCATTTTAGAAGAACTCCCTTGACTACTCAGTGCTAGTTTTAGCAGCCTCTCTATTTGGGCAGGAAGATATTGTGGTATCTGAAAAAACGCCAGGTCCAGAGACACCGAGCTCTTCCAAAGAGTGCTATAAATTCATTGGTAAATTCAGCAGTCCCAGTTCTCCTCCCACTTTGCCATTTGCTGTGATTTAGTACTGAAATTCCAGTGGCATTCACAATATGCTGGTTCAATATGTTAGGAAGACTCAGGCAGCGCACAGGCCACACAGATACGGCTCAGGAGAGGCAGGGCTGATATTTACTGATGGCTTGGCCCCGAGCAAATCACTTCCCTTTCCTGCGCCTCTCCTTCCCACTCATCATCTGCCTTGTCTATTTAGATCCCAGGCGTTTTGGGGCAGCAGGCTCTCCTGCCTTGTGCTGTGGGGGTACTCATATGAGCCTCTCTTCCTTGCTGTTGAGTAGATTTCAGCAGGAGCTGCATCCAGCACAGAGCTGACGTCAGTGGTGGTTAGGAATGGCATGTCCAGGGAACTGAGCAGCAAAAAGGGACAGATTGCTCGTGAGACAAGAGAGTGTTTTGGCTGCAAGGGGCCCTGATCTAGAGTGTTTGTGGAGGAGAAGCGATGCTGACTATGCTCAGTGACCCATCTGTCTGTCTGTATGTGGAAATTTAATTTTGTCTCCACTGGACTCCATTGATCTTCACAGTGGTGATTGATTTCAAGGCCATAAAGCCTACGGCTGGGGTTGTTCTTGTTCCTGAACCAGACCTGATGTAATTTTCTTCCCGTGTCTCTGCTGGAGACTCCTCTGGTTGTCAGGAGTACTGGGACTGTCAGTGCTGATGACCCTGATTAAAAATGTCACCAGCTCCAGCACCAGGGCTTGCATGGTGCCTGAAAATAATATGTCCTGTCAGGCAGCAGCAAAGTTTTCCATCACCTGATAGCTGAACACTCTAAACTAAACTGAGTTGAGATTTCCCAACTTCTCAACCCCTTTATTGTGGAGAAGGTGAAATACGGCCTGATTGAATTGTTTTTTTCCCTCCAGGCAGGTATTTGCTGTGAGGACCAAGCCACGATCCCCTTCCTTAGCACCATGGGAAATCAGAGAACTCCAAAGTGGTCAATCTAGGACATCTCATGAGCCTTGAAATCCTGATAAATATTTCAGAGATACACAAAGAAATAGCATTTAAATGCTGTGCTGACAAATGTTCTATAAATAGCTGCAAGTGTTTATGGAGAGGGAAGTATTTAAAGCAGACTGGGAAAATGGATCAAGGACCCTTCTCACCTTCCCCTCTTGCAGTGTTATGCCAAGGACGTGAGAGTGGTCCTGGCACAAGGCTCCCAGAGCTCTGCAGCAAACTCAGCCACTTGTCCCTGACTCCAGGTCACCTTCAGAGGCTGTTTCCTTCATTTATTTCCAGAATCCTGTCTCAATGCAGCCTCAGGTATGACCAAACCAGTGCCTTGGAAACCAGGGAACAATGTCTTGCACAGCCCTAGTGAGGGGTAGGGATGAGCAGGCACAGTGGCACGTAAAGCCATGGCCAGGCCCCAGCAATGCGAATTTAAACAAAGCCACTTCCAGTGTCAGGCTCTCCATCACTTCTGCTCGCAACGGAAGTGAAATGAAATGCAAGTCCTTACCTCTTCAACAAGCTGCAGCATTCGGCGGGTGCTCTCAAGGGACTGAAAAAAAATAGGAAAAAACACTGAGATTTGGCAAGTTACACTTTCCAGTGCTAATGTGCAGGCTCGTGCTGACAGGATGTTTTCCCTGCACTCTTTCCCTCCCCTCCAAATCAGGGCATCAGCTGGGCACTGGTGATCTCTCCATCTCCAGCTCTGTGGACTGCTAATGTAGCACACCTCGAGGCAGCTGCAGTCTCCCCTTGTCTCCCCTTGCTCCCACACTGTGGCGGTGCTGCTCGGAACTACAGGTGTTCCACTTTAAAAATAACGTCTGTGGTTTTCAGCTATGACTCTTCAGAAACCTAATTGGTGACTTCTAACATTTAATAGGTTTGACAAATCGAAGGAATCCTCAGAAAATATTAAATTGCTGCCTTTTGCTCTGAGGACAGTCAAATTGATGCACAATCTAATACCTAAACCAAACTCATGATCAATAAATTCCCTAATCTGGACTGAGCACAACATTAAATTTTACCCCAGCTCATTTCATTTCCAATTCCGCTTTCAGTGCAAAGCTGATGGAAAAGAGCTCTAGAAATCCTTTGTGGGATGGACTCCTATTTCTGGCTGTGTGTTTCACACCAAGCCCAGCCCCAGGTTCCCGGTTTAGCTACTGGTCTCACTTCATCAGCGAGCTGGTCGGCACGCCGCTGCATCTCTTCCAACTCATTGCGCATATCCGCGTCTTCCGCCATTTTAGCTGTGGGGGTGTTTGGGGACGCTGCGGATCAGGATTTGCACTCAGCTGCTTTGTGAGCCTGGAAGACAGCAAAAGGAAGAGAAACAGTGCAGTTAGGAGCCACGCTTAAACATCAGTCCCACAAAAGCACTTTTATTACATCCCTGTCCTCACCCAAAATCTCATTTGGCATAGCAATGTAAAGAGTAAATCCTTCCTTTTGTCTTAGCCTTTCAAATGCAATTCATACAGAAGCTGGACACTCAGGAGATGCTATCTGCTGCCAGAAACAATCTTTAAACTCATTCATTCTTCTTTAGAATTGAAAGGCTTAATGTGAAGAAGGTCAAGGTCAAGCCTCTGCCCCTCACGTCCTATGTTTCAGCTGCATTGCTTGGAGGGCTGGATGCTCAGCTAACACATTTGTAATTAAAGTAAAGACTATGAAACTTTGCGTATTTTCATTGGCTAATGACTTATCCACCATGCTATAGCTCAGACTATGAAATAATATTTACAGCTAGACTGGGAGACGTCTACATGGGAGAACCCTTCATTTTGGGGGAAGTGACAGTAGGACCTAACTGGTATTTTCAACTTCTCCACAAAGTGGGTCAGATTCTGATGTTCGTTATCCCTCTTGATACAGAGGGACACCCCTGAGCTGGTCCTAACCAGAGGTCAGGACGCAGCCCATTAATCCTCAATTTGGTAGAGTTTCTTTTTTGTTACAAATTCAAGCTAGCTCTGATTAGTGAGCATGACTTGATTAAGAAAGGCGGGCCCTCCTACCATCTGTCAGGTCTTTATAACAACAACACTGGCTTATTTCTTTGCTTGATTCAAGCATGGCACATTGCAAATTACTGCTCACTGAATGTTAGATTTGTTCATTGCAGGAAAACCTAATTGCAGGTGCAGAGGAGGTGGGGAAGTTGTGGGAGACTGCAAGTAAACAGCCATAAAGCAGATGCCAACATGCTCAATTACAGAAAGAGGACAAAAGCAGCCCCTTTCAGCAAAGCTGCTCTAAAGAAGGCAGGATCCCGGGGGCTGTTTTCTGTCCTGTCTTTGCGATAAGTGCAGCCTTTATTAAACAAGATAAGTCAGGGCAGAGCTTGGCTCTAAAATTTTAGCAATAACAACTCTGTTAAAATAGAAGTTGCTACATATTGGAGATTAAACCATCCCTCTCTTTGATGGTGCTCTCCATAAGGACATCAGGAGTATGAGCAGGTATAGCTGGGCGGCAGGGATATTTCCTGGATCACACCCTGTTTGCTTAGAAAGATGTAAGGAAAGCAGATAGCTCCTTGCATTTCCTCTGCAGCTTCAGCAACAGATCTGCTGTTTTTCTTATCTGAGAGGGAATATGTGACCTTCATGCCTTCACATTAGCTGTGCCCTCACTCATGATTGCTTTTCCTCTTTGAAGCTACAGCAGGAAGAAATCCATCTTGAGGAGTCAGCCCTGCAGCTATTGGCACGATATTCTACTTTCATCACTGCGCACATCGCCACATCCTTGTCAGAGGGAGGCTGGCATTTTGCGATGGGTCACACCATGTGTAGGAGCCTAAATGTCTGTTGCAGAAGGAGGCCACCTGGTCCTGCCAGCTGCATGGTCACAGCAGTGTGAAGGACCAAGCTTAGGCAACTCATCTGCAAGCCCAGCTGTGCAAGGGCAGAGCTTAATTTCATGGCTAATACTCAGGCTGGTATCGGACACTTCAAGGATGCTCACAAAGAGCAGGAAATGAGCTTTACAAAAGCATGGTGCACTTGGATATTTAGGAAGAAAAGATAAACCGGGAACTGGTCTCTCCTGAAGGGCATGTGAAGGTGTGGGGATACTCTCAAGGCCACCCCAACCTTCCCACTCCGCAGCTGTGCTGGTGGTGCCCTTCACAGCACTCAGCTCCAGTGAAACACTGCTCCTGGCCAGCAAATGGAGCATGCTCAGCCAGGATAAAAAGAAGTTATTTTGGTAAAGAGCCATGCTCCAAACTCCTGTCCCACTTGGCTGGCTCTAGCACTGGTCACTGCTTCACAAATTGTGGTTTTTCCCCAGACTGAGGCATAACCCAGAGCAGAAATATTTCTGGCATAGCCTCTCTACCAGAATACCAAGACTGAGTCTGTGGATCTAGTTTTTGAGCATCTGGTTAAAATATTCTCCTTTGCCTGGACCCCTGGCTACACTTGTGCTGGCAGAGGAGTAGCACTGAGCTGGAGCCTAAATCAGGACAATTTGTTTAGGACTTTGGGACTGATCTAACTGGTAAATACGTATAGATGTTGATGGGCAGGAAAGTGGTTCTGCTCTGTATCTCTTGGTATCATCTCACTAGCTGTAAAGTGGGAGGTGATGCATCAGTGAGAGGGTGGGATGCTAGGAGGGAATTTGGTTCATTTTCTAAGCATATCCAGTGTGAGCTGAATAATTACAGACCTGTAAGTGAGTGGAGGTGACATGAGGGCTTCTACTGACAACAGCAATTTATTTATTGACTGTTGGTCAGTCTCTGCAGATAAAAAAAAATCACAGCAAATTCCATTCTCTGGTAGATTCTAGCCTGACTTTTGATGTTTTCCTTACAATTTTTTTCTTTTTTTTTTTGATCATGAGCCCGTGGTGGTGCTGGGTGGTGCAAAATTAAAAGGAAACAAATGGGGAGAGACTTTTACAGAAGCACAGAATGGTTTGGGTTGGAAAGGTCCTTAAAGATCATTTCATACTGGCCCCCTGCCATGGACAGGGACACCTTTCACTAGACCAGGTTGCTCAGAGCTCCATCCAACCAGGCCTTGAACACTTCCAGGGATGGGGCATCCACAACTTCTCTGGACAACCTGTTCCAGTGACTCACCATCCTCAGAGTCAAGAATTTCTTTCTAACATTTAATCTAAACCTACTACCTGTCAGTTTGAAGCCACTGTCCCTTGTCCTGTCACTCCATGCTCTTGTGGGGTTGTTTTAGGTACCCTTCTTGGTTTGTTAGAGCCATCAGTTGGCATCTTAGTGACAGACGTGTCTTATTTTGCATCAAGCTAAAAAAAGTGTCAGAGCTTGTAAGCAGAGAGATGTTGCGCAGCAAGTGATCAAACTTGACAGGCTTATTGAGATTGTTTGGTGTTTGTAAAGCACTTAGCACAGATTGAGAAATAGCAAAAAGCATTCTTCCAGACAAGTCATTTTACATCAAGTTTTAGTCATAAACAGAAGTGCCCCGCAGCTGTGCTGATTCAACTTTATTTAATAGAGAACCGTGTCCAAGAATCAATAAGGTTACTGATTTGCACACAGTGTGATAAACTACATATATTTTGTATATATGTATACATATATACAAAATATATGTAGTTTATCACACTGTGTGCAAATCAGTAAAGGAATGAGTTTAAATTTTTTTTCAGATTTTGCAATTTGTAATGTGGAATAGGACAGATTAGAGATAGGAGTTTCCTTGAAAACTCCTGTTTAGGCTGAAATGCCATTCCAGTGTCATGAATTTCCAACAACAAACCCTGTTATCAATAAAAATCCTGGTGAAAGAAGAATTATGTTTTAAAGGGAATTATTGCTCTGAGGTACAAAGTAACAGCTCTCCATCTATAGTGTTTCTTAGGCACACCTATAAAAAGCTGTTATTTAAAACTCCTGATGTTTTAAAACATTGAAAATTGACAATTGCAGGAATGGTCAAGGAAAGTTAAGTCATGATGAATTTGCTCTTACTGATACTAGACAGACTTTCAAAAGCATAAGTTCTGGCTCAGGCCCACTGAAACCTGCACTTCTTTAAGTAGAACAGAAACAGGCCTAAGATAATATCAAGAACTTAGGGTAATAAATTCCTTGCAGAATTTATTTTTGTTACTAGTTGATATTTTCCATTCTGTTCTCATTGAAGTTAATTTGAACCAAGTGTCAAAATCCTACAATTATCTTAGGAATCTCTAATATAACTGGAATAAACCCCCCAAAGTGTACTCAGTACTTTTAACTTAAAGTACATTTTATTTTATCTACAGTCCCTGCAGAGATGACTAATCAGAAAACCAAAGTAAGGATGTAATATGTTAAGCTCTTTCAATCTAAAAATTTGATTTAAAAAAAAAAAAAGGTTGCTACAGAAGTTACAGACCCTACATTCACTCAATTTGTGTTTGTACTTTTGGTAATGCTTATACAAATTCAGCCTCAAAATTTAACGTGGACCTTGGTTTTTCCATTTCGGAAAAGGAAGTCCTCTGGGTTCACACACAAACATCCCCGGTGCTCTTTGAAAAGGAGAAAAAAGCCCAAACCCTGCTACAAAATACGGTGTACAGCATGTTCCAGGCTGCACTCTGTGTCTCCTACACAATGCAAGCAACTGCAGGCACTTGGGTCATTTACATCCAACTCCCTGCAGACAGTCTTGTCCCTTACGCCAGGGCTCATACACAAGCACCACAGACAATGTTAGAGAGAAATATAGACTACCTAATGGAAAGGCACTGCCTATTATGCTTTGAATTCTGCGTCTGCTATCTCAGTAGTGCCAAGATGCAGTAAAGGATCCCTCAGCAAGAACGTTATATAATCTGTATGGAGTAATACTGAAGGCTCAGAGAGACCTACGTCTGTCCCCAGAGGAAGAGAGATACAGCGACTGACCTTTGAAAGCAAATATTTGCTTCACAGTGATATAAACATTTCAATGCAATAAATGCAGGAAAATGAAAATGCTGTAATTTACTGGGGTGAAGGCAACACAGCAATAAAATGTTCTTTTTTTAAGCACTCTCTCTGTTATTAAAGGACACATCTACTCTTCCCATAGATATTTGTAGCCAGAAGATGACTGCATTGGTGTATTTTACTAAAAACGTCAGAATTGGGCAATCCCACTCCTTGCGCCTCTTTCTTGTAGGACTGAAAGCATTACCACAGTGTTGCAGTGTTTATAGAACCACAGAAAACCCGAGGAGAGACTTTGAATCAAGTGTCTCAGGATGGATGTAGGGCCATTTAAGGGTGGAATTTGGGTTGCTGCTACTGTCTGGCTGTTGGTAGAAGAAGAAACACTGTC